ATAGCACTTGAGAAGTTCTTCCTTAGACTTCGAAAGTATAATTTGAAGCTTAACCCAGCAAAGTGTCTGTTCGTACATCCGGAGTATTTCTGGGGGGCCAATATGGTCAGCCGAAAGGGCATAGAGGATTGACCCTTCCAAAAGCCAAAGCCATTCTGGAAATGCCAGCACCAAGAACGGAAAAGGAAGGTTCGAGGTATTCCTGGGAAAGGCTACAGTACATCAAAAGCCGGTTCATCAATCAATTGCCGATACTTGTAATCCGATTCAAATTTGCTCAGAAAAAGGAAGTTGGCCGTCAAATGAATGAGGTATTGTCAGGAAAGCTTTCGACCAAGTTTCAAGCAATATCTGTTATCCCCGCCAGTTTTACAGGCACCAAGGCTAGGAAAGCCTTTGCTGTTTACCTCTATCAGTGACAGAAGAAGCGATGGGTGCAATGCTAGCTCAACAAGCAAAAGATACAAGGATAGAAAATGCCGTGTATTACTTAAGCAAGAGGATGCTAGAATACGAGCTAAAATACAACAAGATAGAGAAGTTGTGTCTAGCTCTAGTTTGGGCCTGTACAAAGCTGCAACACTACCTTTCGTCTTACACAACCTATGTCATTTCTGAATCGAACCCCTTGAAATTCCTTATGGAGGCCGGTTCTTGACTGTAAGATGGCTAAGTGGGTATCAGTGCTTGCAGCTTATGATTTAAAATTTGTACAACGGAAGGAACGGCAAGGCCGTGAAAGGCGGTGCTTAGCTTGATCAACTAGCTGAAATTACCGGTCAGAGACAAAATAGAGACAAGAGAAAGGGATTTCCTGATATGAAGAGAATTTGTTAGCTAGAAAGTGAAAGTCATGGGAGATTACTATCGATGGAGCTTCAGATTATCATGGAAAATGGGGCGGAGTGTATTCCCAAACTCCTTGTGGAGGAATACATTCCCAACGCAGGTCAAATTGGATTTCAACTTGCACTAAACAATGAAGCCGAGTATGAAGCTTGCATAAGAGGGTAAGAAGCTACCTTGGAAAGGAGATAAAGATTCCTCAAGGTTTTCGGAGAAGGTTTTCGGGGATTCCAATTTAATAGTCTCCCAAGCTTTGAGAAAATGGAAAATTAAAGAAGAGCGTTTGGTTCCTTACCTACAACGTTTGGACGAACTGGCTCAGCAATTTGAGGATTTATCCTTCCACTATTTGCCACGAGCCAAAAATCAGTTTGCTGATGCTCTGGCTGCCTTGGCCTCCATGGTTAATGTAGGGGGAGACCAAGTCATCCGACCTCTGACAGTTCGGCTACAGAAACAGCCAGCGCATATCATGAATTTGGTGGACAACAAGCCTTGGTTTTGGGACATACAGAACTATCTTCAGAATGAAGCCTACCCAGAGGGATCCACCAAAGACTGATCCAACGAACATGTGAGACCGTAAATGGCATCCGCGATATTTCCTTAACATGATGGAGTTCTGTACAAGAGAAGTTGGAGCGCTTGCCACCAAGTGCGTCGATGAGGGAGAACTCAAACCATGCATGGATTCCTTACATAACGGGGAATCTGGCCCACACATGCCACGAGATAGCCTTGAGGCTCGAAAAATCATGAACTAGGTTATACTTCAAACCATGAAGGCAGATTGCGTGAGAGCACGCGCAGAAGGGTCACGAATTGTCAAATTTTTTGCTAAGCTGCCAAAAAGACAACCTCCGGTCAATTTGAATCCTATTGCTTCACCATGGCCTTTCGCATACTGGCATTAGACGTGATCGGAAAAATCCACCCGAAAGCTTCCAACGGTCCACCAGTTCATTTGCGTGCTATAGATTACTTCACCTAAGTGGCATCGAGGCACCTCTTATTTCAATTCTGAATGCCAAAGAAGGCAGCGCATTCGTTCGTACCAACATCCCTTTGTTCGACGGAACGCCATTCGAGATCACCACGGAGGATAATGGAGCTCACTTCCAGGGTGAATTTGCTAATTTGTTGAAAGAGACGAGAATCCAACATCATAAGTCCTCGCCCTATCGTCCGCAAACCGGGGCTGTAGAAGTTGCAAATAAGCCCATAAAAGTTATTTTGCAAAAGACAATTAAAAAGCACAAAGCTTGGCATGAACAGTTACCGAATGCCTTATGGGGATATCGGACTTCAATTAGAACACCTACTGGGGCAACCCCGTATTCCTTAGTATATGGCATGGAAGCAGTATTGCCTATTGAGTTAGAAGTTCAGTCGGCGAGGGTTATCCGGGAAAGCCAGATCAGTGAAGCAAAGAAAGTCAGATCAGCGAAGCAGATTGGGTGAAGAATTATCATTTGCAACTTTTGGGTATGGATGAAAAGCGGTTGCAAGCAATCCACCAAACTCGAGTCTACCAAAGGAGAATGGCGCGGCATTTTAACAAAAAGGTCAAAGACCGAAAGCTGGAAGAAGGCTGTTTGGTTCTGAAGGAAATTAGGCAACCAATTCAAGATCCACGTGGGAAGTTTCGTCCTCATTGGGCTAGCCCCTATGTGTTGAAGAAAGTATTGTCCGGCGGAGCCGTCATTTTGACTGATTTGGATGGTTTAGAATTTGCAAATCCATGTAATTTAGATCAGTTGATCAGTGAAAAAGGTATTTGTGTTAAATAAGCATTGCATAATGTAAAACGCCCCGCCCAACTACATTAGACCTGATTCTCTTCGAAAAAAAAGAAAATTACATATCGGAAGATATTGTTAAGCCAGCCCTCATTGGGCACGGTTCTAAACATTAATAAAAATCATCATTTCATCATTCTTTTCTTTCTTTGCTAATAAAAAAAAATAAAACCAAAAAAAAATTAATAAAAAAAAATATAATAAAAAAAAAAACAAAAGAAAACCCGCTAAGCGAAAACCCGACAGGGCGACTTAAGGCAAAAAGTCGCGGTGCCCGCTAAGTCGAAAAACCCGGAAAGGGCGCTTAGGGGGCAGCTTAGGCAAAAATGGGTAGCTCGCCAAGTTGAAAACCCGAAAGGGCGGCTTAGGCAAAAATTAGAGCTTAAAGGAATAAAGTTGGAACATGCTTGGAAAGCTTAAAAGTCAAACAACACTCCAATAAAAAAATAAAGCCAAACAGTACAAGCAGAAAGCCAAAAAATATATATATATATATATAAAATCCATGAAACAAAATACATCCAAAACCAAAGAATAAAGCCTATCGGAGTCTAGGTGGCCCGTCGCCTCCGTGGGGCAACGTCCTCCGAGTCATCCCTAGCTGTTGAACTCTCTCCAGCCTCGCCTGTCCAAGGAGTCAACACAATCTCCTCCATCTGTCCCAGCCTCGTTTTTACCAGCGTCAGCCTGATCCAGCCTATCAAGTACACTCAAGCAGTGCATCTCCTCCTCAGCTAAATCAACCGGCCAGGACAACGGTCATGAACCAGGACCGATACTCAGGAGGAAGTCTGAATACCAGCAGGATTAGGTAAGGCCTAAACCATCTGCATGATCTCTAACCCAAGCTCTAGGGGACAGCTCGGGTAACTCCGGAGTGATGTGAAATCAGATAAAGTAGTCATCCATGATCGTACAGTCTTGATCTATTCCCATCTGCCTTCATAACGCGCGAAAGCGCAAGTACCAAGTACAAGGGGTAAGGCCTAAAAGGTAAAAACCTGAGTTATGGGAGAGCTGACTTGAATAAAGCGGGTAATTGGCCTTACCAAAACCACAGCACTTCAATACCAGGATACGAACCACAGCACCTCATTTGGACCCAATTCAATCAGCCATGAGGTCCATGCATCCACGGATGGGTAGGTGGTCAAGATCCTTCGCATACGGTGCTAGGCGGGATTATAAGGCAATAAAGTAGGGGCAGCAACCACTTGGAGGTGGTCCTTTAACCAAATCTGAAAAATGGATCCTTTCTATTATAAAGGAACAAGCTAAAAAAAAAATGATAATAAGAGAAGTACCTGGAGAATAATAGGGGAAACTGTCCAATCCTCGAAGCCTAAAGCAGCTCTGTCAAGGCTCCTGATAGTTTCTGCCAGCACAATACCACCTATGCAACCCATATCCTCCATCTGCTCTTTTAACAAAGTCGCAAACCCCCGTTAGCCCCGGATCCTGGTTGAACAAGAAAGCCAGCCAAAAACAAGAACCAAGCCCGCATCCTAGCCTCAATCCGGTCTGGGGTCATCTGAAACAGACCCCTGAAAAACCTCATCAATCAGGGGCAACAAAAAATTGCTTTGAATCGCCTTCTGGTCGTCAACAATCATGGTCTTAGCTTGTGGCCGGCTGAATTGAAATAAATTTTCAAATGACCGAACATACCCAACTTTAACCTCATGCCTGACTAAAGGGCATTAGGGTCACACCCTATGATAGCACAAAACTCCTCGAAAAGAGGGCACATCTCTTCCATCATAGCTCCGAACCAGAAAACGTGGGCCTCAGGTTCCCAGAGTCTGATACAGGCCCATAAAAAGTTCCAGTCGATCACTACCCCCCTAAGGGTAATGATAGGAGAGAGGCCATACCTCTTCAAGTTTGATCTTTTCGGACTTTGGAGAGACTCCTAATCCAGCTGTGCATGCTGTGAGTAAAAAAAAGATTTCAATTCTTTTGAAGATGAAGAAGGGAAGAAGAGAGAAAAGGAAGGAATGAATGAAAAACCAAACAAGAAAACTTTCTTTATAGAAGAATCGCCGAATGATGGCGGCAGCTGCCGCCAACCCAAATTGCCACCGAACGAGGCCAGCAGCCGCCAAAACGTTCAGCGGCAGCAAGCCACCGACAGGCGGGGGCCACAAAAAAAAAAAAAAAAAAAAAAAAAAAGTACATCCGAAATGGTGAAACCCCATTTTCATTTCAAACATGCATACATGATTTCAGTACTAACTAGTTGCAGGTACAGATGACATACAGTACAGAGGTACAGTCAGAATTCGACACAGAAGTAGAGTAAAAGTTTAGTACAGAAATGCAAGAAAAAAAAATACATATCCGGCAACCATGGCTTCAGCGACGGGGCCTCCTCCTCCTCTGATCGGCAACCAGTTCCATCATCTGATTGACCAATCCGTCAGGAACCTGGAAACCATACAAAGAAAAATGTAAGTTAACATCAAATCTCTTACGAATCCTTTTTGGTTGGGTCTGCACAGTCACATGCTTCCTAACACTCAAGTCATCTCAGAATCAAGTTGCTCGACATTCTTTATGGAGGAGCTGCTTCTAAAAAGAAAAAAAAAAAAAAAAAAAAAACAAGCAAAAGAAAAAAAAGGGTCAAAAGGAACCTCTGTACAAAAGAAAGAAATCAAGGACAAAGCTACAGGAAATCAAGTTGTCAAAAAAAAAACGGGTCAACTGCAAGCTCTCCGTTAAATTCAAGCCCATCAAGGGTAGATGACAAATCATTTCAGCCATAAGGACAAAAACCAAGTGGCTGCTCACAGTTTAAAAAAAAAGCAAGTGAAAAGAAGCAGTCATTTCCACAAATTGGATGACAACAAACACCTTGAAAATCAAGCACCAAAAATGGCACAAATACAAATGTCCTTAAAGGATCATTTCTCAAAACAACAGGAAAGGAAGAGTCTCTCAAAATTCCTTATGGAGAGGAGAACCATTCGAGGAAATAAGTTACAATTCAGCAGGGAAATACAAGTTCAAGAAAAAGAATCAAAATAACCTCAAGAATTCAAACATGGTGAACGCCAAAGCATAAAAGCTTCTTCAACACTCAAAGCCACTCAATTACCACCACATGTTGGGTTTTACAAAACTCTTTGTTGATGAATACAAGCATATTTCAAACGTCAACCAGTGGTAACCACACAACAAACAAAGGTCAGATTCGCCTAGGTCATCACTATCATACGAACTCGAGTCAATAAGTGATTCAAACCAATCCAAATCGGAGAAGGAACCCCACAAAGACACCCAGTCGGGAAGGAATCCACGAAGAAATCAAGCCAGAAATGAAATTCTGGCATCAACATTCAAATCGGGAAGAATCCCGCATAGGACATCCAGTCGGAAGGGAATCCCGCGAATTGAAATCAAGCCAGGAAATGAATTCTGCATCAACACCCAGTCAGGAAGGAATCCCCGCGAAGAAATCAAGCCAGAATATGAATTCTGCATTCAACATCAAAGCGGGAAGGAATCCCGCATAGACATCCAGTCGGGAAGGAATCCCGCGAAGAAATCAAGCCAGAAGATGATTCTGCAAGTCACATTCAAATCGGGAAAAGAAATCCCGCATAAGACATCCAGTCGGGAAGAAATCCGCCAAAGACATCAAGCACGGAAGAATCCCGCAAAGACATCAAGCCGGGAAGAAATCCCGCAAAACATTCAAGCCGGGAAGCAATCCCGCGAGAAAATCAAAGTCGGGAAGGAATCCCGAAGGAAATCAAATTGGAAATGAATTCCCAATCAGCATTTAAGTCGGCCATTTGAATTTTGCTCTCAACAAGCAAGTCTCGGGGAATTAAGTGTTCGCCAACACAAGACGGAAAGGAATTCCGCACTAACATCAAGCCGGAGATGAATCCGCATCAATGCCCGAGCACGAAGTTCGCATGCCTGGAAAGGAAAACTACGAAAAACCTGATTCTCCATCCCCCGAAGAGTCTCTCTGGAGTATACGTCAGGCAGCCAACAAAGGCTGGCCCAGTACAGTCACCAACATTAAGTTTGACATCATAGAAATAACACCATTTCTCCTTTGCCAACAATAAATTCATGCATTTGATCATCTTCAATTTAAAAAAATAAAAAAAAGAAAAAAAACAAAAATTATAAAAAACATACGGCGCAGGGGTTTCCTTCCTCTGCCCATCCTCACAATAATTTCGTTTCGTGTACGAACCACCGACTCCCATATAATCCATTTTTTGATTGTCGACGGTGGGTGAGGCAACTGTGAATACTCAAATTTTGAGGGCTCAAAAAGCCTGTTGCGTGACTTTTGGCGTTTTACTAAGTAAATTTGACTGTGCTACAATGAATTTGCTTACAGCAAATTTAATTGTGCTATCCAGGCCAGTTTGCCTAACAGCTAAATTTGATTTTCATACAGTAAACTTTACTCACAAGGCTCAAAGAGCCAATTTTTTCCGTACTGCAACATTTACCGGCCGACCGGTGAGGCACATGTATTTCGGAAATTCCACCGAAAATATACTCAATATGGTACTTGAAACGTCCGGAATTTTACGAGGTCGCGGGGAACAGGTCCCGGAATATTTTTTCGGAGGTCCCGAAAAAAAAAAAAAAACTCCCAAACAGCTCCGAAGCGGATCACACGGTTGGCCGCACCGGCCAACGGGCGCGCCAGGCCCCACCAGCGCATGTGGGCGGACAGCCCCTCGCCAGGCGTCGCGGGCCTGCGCCCAGCGGCGGGCGGAGAACCCTCGCCCAGCGTGGCGGGGACCCTCGCCCAGCTGGTTCCGCGGTGCGAGGCCCCTTCGCACGCCGCGCGAGCGCGAGGCCCCTCGCGCCGCGACAGGTACATTCGCACAACTGTTAAGGTGCCTGATCTGCCCGTACCCCTCGCCCCGCGCGGCGAAACCTTTTTTCGCCTCGCTAGCGGGCTTTCAGCCACCCATATCACCCATTCGGTAACCACACCTCATGCGGCTGTAGTCGTCAATAGACACCTGTAGGAATAAGGACAGGGGCAGGGCGTGGGGCGGCTGACAGACTCTTCGACTCTCTCAAGAAATCAAAACCAGTACGCATGGGGCAAAACGCGCGGGTACACAGCAGATTATCCCGCACGATGAACAGAACAGACAGAAGTCACTCGAAGGTCGACGGGCCATTCTCTCGCCGGACCGTGCCAGGCTGGGCGAGGTGCCCATCCCGGCAGAGAAATCGAATACTGGACTCATGAGATGCGTCCTCCCGCAAGGCTCTGCCTTGCACATTCTTTAACCCATGCCCAGTCGAGATGAAGGAAAAAAGAGGCCGCCTGGCCTGCTCCAGCATTGACCCGAGCGGAGAACCACCCAGCTCTCGACTGTCCGGAGCCCCGCTAGAGTCAGCGGAGCATCCCCTGCGATCACGCGGCTCCTGTCTAGCCCCCCGCGCGCTGCTGCGCTAGGTTGTCCTGTTACTGTTGCCCTCACTCACAGCCTCATGACAGCACGTGCGACGGACCTATAGTAGAGCCTGCTAAGCGCTATACGAGGAAGAGGAGGGAACATCATCTCGGCCAGCTGCAAAGCTAAGGAACAAAATAAAAGATTGAGCAGAGGAACTGCGGCACCCTGGGTACCCTTGGCTTCGGCGGCAGCATCCTGAACCCCATTTCCAACTCCTCCCTACCTGAGCAGCTCAGTTGGACACAAGGGTCAAACTCACAGGCTTCACGCGAGACGCGAAGCCTAGGGGCGATTGTGGGGGTATCCACGAGCGTTGAAGGCCCGGGCCCGAGGTAGTACCGTGCCTTAAAATCTAAGCTGGGGCAACCGTCCTCTATGGCGTAAGTGTTTAGGCCACAAAATGTCCACCTGCATCACGGCGATGATCTGGCATGCCACCGCCTGGATTCCCGAAAAATGGGGCCTATAATGATTAGGGACCGATCTATCGAGGGCTGTTTTTGCTAGACCACCTCTTGGTTCCGTATGATTGAGCAGTTGTGAACGGGATGATCCGCATGACTCTTCTCCCCTATTCGACGCCTTCGCGTGTAGTGCGGTTATCTTACCTGTGTGTTTGATTTTAATTTAATTTGTGTGTTAGGTTGCAATTATCTAACATTTGACTTAGTTTTATGCGATATTACAGAGTGTACAATCATGACAGAGAAAAAACACTACCATTCAAAGTGAATTTACTACCTAAGTACGAGAGCTTCTCTCTAATCTTTGCGCGTGGACGCCTATAAACAATGAAATGTATGCTGCGGTCCTCGCGATTAAGGAGAGGTTCAGTGTACGTAAAATAAAATGTATCATCGTTACTATAAGTATATAGAATATCCATTGAGCACTTCATATGCATGCTTGTACGTACTAATCCCGTAGCTCCTCAATTGTGACTTTCGGTAGTAAAAGACCTTATGCTGGCGATCCACTATGAAGGAAGCTGAAATCGATAGGCGAACAAGTCAAATCTAAATCATGCCCGTCTTCAATTTTCATACAAGCCAATTCTACATAACTTTTTACGTCATCACACCCATAGCTTCGTACAATGAGGAAATTTTGAGATCACCTCTTTGTCGCACTGATTACTGGACAACTTTAAAAAAATTCACAACGCATATAAATAAAAATACGGGAATAAAAAGTAATTAAAAAACAAAGAACCACTTATTATAATAATAGCAGACAAATCACGGACATATAAAAAATACCGAACAATAGTATTATTATAAAACACAAATGAGGTAAACATTGAGAAGGAATCAAATTTCATTATATATCAGGTATTATAAAAACCAGTGAGAAAAGGTCTAACCATATTTAGCGGACAAATCGCTTAAAATCGACATTTTTGGGCAAAAATGCCTTAAAATACAAACTTTTTAAGCGATGCGAGAAATCTGTTTTAACACGGAACCGATGTCTTTGGTAGCGCATCCCGAAAGCCACTGGCCTTAAATCAATCAATTTTTTTTTGGCAAAATGCCTAAAACAAAATTTGCACATAGCATACACACACTTTCATTGCCAAAAGCATTACACACTTTCAGCCAGATTTGCCATAAGAGGGGGCATTAAACACCACATATCTCGTATTGCACACATACACACTTAAACGCGAGTGCTATCTTAGAGGAACTGTAAGTACTCCCATATTCTAAAGAGCCCTATCAATAACCAGCCACATGGCCTGCCGATACAATTAATCGTCCTTGGACTTTGATATGTCTCCATTCAATCACGAAACACGTCACGGTCGAAGGGCAAAACGAGATCTCGATATCGCGAGATTTCACTCCACATGCCCTGGCGAAAGCCTAAAACAACCGCAGTACAAAATCAGCAGCAACACATCTTTACATCTAAGTCGCGAGTGCTAAGGTATCATTCTCGTGTGTGCGTCACCAAACGAGCAGTGCCTCATCTCAGTCAGGTTTAGTGTTAATCCCCAATTCAGCATAGAACATAATAGTACTCACGGGGTATCACACCTCGAGAAATCAGTTTGTAGTTCAGCACTAGAAACGTGAAGGTGCCATATAAAACATTGGGAATAAGCACTTAATCTAGTAACTAGGTGATAGATTAAAAAAATGAGAGTATAAGTAACAACAGCATGAGAGGAGAGTATAGATTATATCCTAAGAGTAACCAATTTACCGATGAAAATAATTAAACAAGTGGCGACTCAACACTCACGTTGGCATTTCTTCCTTTAGTCACATGCATTCATATGCCGGTTGATATTTTGGGGAAGGGGTTACACAGGTAGGTAGCCTTAGGTTGGTCCTATAGTTGAGCAAATGGTGCTACGGCAACGCACGTCATTTCACTTATTTTGGCTGAACCATTTAATTGGCTAGGAGAGCATAACGGAGCAACACTAGAGTTACACCAAAAGTGAACTTGGTATGCCTGGAGTTTGGTCCGCTTTTTACCTTAGTAAATACGTCACGCTAAATGCATTCTTTCATTCCTTCTTTTTTTCCTTTTCTATTTATTTATCCTTCAGCCATCTATTTCATTTTGGTGATGTTAGCCGCTGTCTGTGCAAGAGCCACTAAACGTTCTTACTTAGAGTCGCATGGCCTTTTATCAGTGAGTGTAGTATTCAAGTTATGTTAACAAACAAGCTTTCTCTTTTTTTATTTCTTTTTGCCCCCTTTTTTTTATTTTATTCATTTTGAATGCCATTTCAATTGTGGGCTTTTGAAGGAAGCTTTACCAAACGATGGATCCACCATCGACCATCTGATGTTTGATTATAACCATGAGCTATGTTTGGACATCATCGCCATTCTGACTGGCGAGATTGTAGGAAAATTGGACTCAATTTTCTTGGATAACCTCCGAGGGGAGGTTGCAGATGGGACTTGCCCTGTGTACAAGTTAAAGAGCTTGTTATGTCACCAGCGATTTATCTTTCTTGTAACACACTTTGCAGCTATTCTTTGCCCCCTATTGTGGCTTGACCATTGGTAGATGTTGCTTCGTATTTATTCCAGGTTCCTATTACCCACAAAGATGAGGGTGTGGAGTAGCTTAGGCGGTGGCAGCACCCACATCAGTTTTAACGTAGGTTTGTAAAAGGTTCAAGGGGATTATATGCAGGTGCGTTACCTCTAGCGAGAAATACACGCATTTCGAGGTAGAACTAAAGGGTC